CTAATCCAACATAGAGAGATATAAAAAGAAGGCAAGCAGAGAAATAGGGGGAAGTTCCAATAAAGAAAATCTTCGGGACAGATTGATTGTAATGCACCAATTTTCAAAAGACAGCAACCAGGTTGCAAGGGAAGGGCTATAAGAAATCCAACCACCAAAGAGAGAAGCAAACAATCCTCAGCTTAACAAGTAACACCAAAGTATAAACAACTGTAATGATTTCAAGTCACCGCAGCATAAAATCACAAGGATTGGGTTGTGACAACAAACGGGATCTTCAGATACAGCACAGGACATATATATGGGTTAAGGTGATTGAACATGAGAGTCTAATGACTCTCATCCAAGAACTGTAGGGTGGAAGTAAATATTAACTATGAGCTGATTACAGCTTGCTCATTAATTAATAATATTACACCATCCTCCTCAAGTTTTAACATTCAAATAACAATTTATCCCATGCTGTTAGAAGGCTGCTAATGACTTGACAAAAAATTGTGATTACTCTTTGTTTATGTTGGTTAGTGATTGGGACATGAGAAGAACTAAAGGGTGGAAGTTAAATAGTAATTTTAGGGTAAATTACACTGATCTCGCCTGGCTATTGAGCTAAGTACAGCTAGCACATTAGTTTGAAAATATTACATGTTCTCTCTTGAGTTTTCCTCTGAGTTTAGCCATACGTTAGAAGACTGTTATTGACTTAACACAATTTGGCGGTTACTATTGATTCATCTAACCATATTTCCTATTTTTTCCCCTATAAAGATTATTTGGCATATAAAATGGATTGACCCATGAACTATACATGTTTAAATGGGTTAAACCCAAATCAGAAATCCTTTCCCTTCCTCTTTGCCAATAAACTGTTTCTCTCTAAGTTGGCCAATCGCACCATTTACTTTGCCTACTAATAACTCAATAATGAATTATATGGAAAATTGCAATATACACCCTAGCGACAAAGAATAATTCTATATGCACCAATTAGTACTAGTACCAACACTAGTTATACACTAATTGTGCATGTAGCACCACCGAGCAACAAACATTCATATATAATCTCAATAAATCACAATCAAATAATAAGAACATAATCATCCTCAAAGATAGAAATGGACTCTATTCAACATCATTATCTACAGTGGATACAACCTAATGCTCAAGAAAAACTTCAAGATTAAATCTGACCTTAGGATACTTCAATCAAATGACAGCTCTTTGGGTCCTCCTCCGCTCATAAGCAGGATCATCTGTGGCAATTCATAACGACAAACAGGGCAGTTTGTAGGAAAGACGATGTGAAACAAAAGTAAGAGGATGTCAACTTTGGGTACAAATCAATTGAGAGAGTTGTGTGGGCCAGAAAATCCTATTCATAAGTCAGAGATAAACATCCCTTGC